TGGACCCTAAAGAACCTACCCTTTTAGGGTTCCGTATTATAGTTTCTTTATGTAAGTCCTTAAAAAAGTAGGTTCTGTGCTGTTAAGGTTCTTGTTGCAGTACAGAACCTTTTGTACGAGGCTTTTGTTGCCGCTATAGAACCCTAAACCCCAAACAATCAAGAGCTCCAGGCATCTTGTTCAGGGGATCAGTGTCGTTCCGAGTTTGAAAGGCTGTCGAATTTCGGATGGACAAATAAGGTTTCAATTTGCGAACAATCGCCAAGCCTCTCCAACCTCCAGTTGTAACACTGGCTTTGATCCTCACGTCCACCCGTACTTGCTCGTTGGCGGAGTCGCGAGTGGTCCGAAGTATCTCTATGAAGTTGAGCCAATGGAAGGCTTTGCGTACGCGGTGCGCTACAACGCCACCCGCGGCCACATGGACATGGACGTGATACGTACGAGCCTAGGAGACGTTCACATCGGGACCAGGCACAATGTCAATATCAACACAATCGAAACCCTCGACGACCTCCACAACATAACCCCGTGGATGGCTTTACGTCCGGGGTATTTCGTGTCTACTACGGAAGACACCTATACCTACGAACTCCACTTCAGGTCTGCCCCTACCTTCGTGGAGGTTTACGACATCTATGGGAACGGAATTCGAGCAAGTATCACGGCGGATCCCGGTTCCCAGACGTCATCGACGACCACGGAAACCGCCAACGAGGCGGCCGAGGGGACGGCCTCGGCTGGTGAAGCTCGCCGGGGCAGTTGGCTTGCCTTCTTCGTTCTCCTGGGACTGTCCAACTAGTTGAGTCAGCTTGAAGCATCTTAGATAGCCAGAGGAAGAAATTTCAACTGTTTGGATACATTCTGGTCTATCTGAGAAAGTCTGAGGCTTTTTTGGTGACCCGGTTATTGAGGAAGAGAGGGTTGCTCACATTCACAGCTGATTTGTGATAGTGTGACAGGCATGTGTTTGCCGATGTGCTTCTGGCAAGTTTAAATGCCAACACTCTGATGAGGGAGGACTGCATTTGTTCTCCTGTGTTTCAGCTTTCCGTTTTGAAGCCAGCTCCAAAGCAAGAGCTGCAGCATGTGAACGAGTTCGATTCTGCTGCACCGCAGCTTCTGTTCCTCCCGGAGGGAAACAGCACAATATCTTCCGTCGGCCGTGTGCCAACGCATTGACCTTAAACTACACCAAACTTCAAATTAACTTAACTAAACCCGACAACCCAATGATATAGGGTAGAAAAGCCTGCAGCCCTACAGCCTAATAATGTGGGGTATTTTCGCCTGCAGCATAAAACGCTGAAGTTGGTGCAGGTAGTCTGCATCCAGCCTAGGCTTCACTTTCAAGCATTTGGGGTCTCGAGGCGTAAGGGTCAGGGTCTTAGGGTTTAGGATGCAGGCGTTTAGGGTTTGGGGTCTTAGGATCTAAAGTTCAGGGGCCGCATTTAGAAAGTAGGTCACGAGTGAAGATTGTCTAGAGATTTCCAGTGATCTTTGCGGCTCAGTAAACTGTGAAAACAAGCCTAGACTAGATGCATACTGAACCAAGCCGTTGAAAGTGTGACCGGATGTATAACCTATTTAGTCTAGGGACAGTATAGATGGTCCTTCCCACGCAGACTGAGGCTTTTATGAAGATATGGCCCGCGAAATGCTTCCGTGTGTTCAGCTCTTCCTAAATTGCGGCAGTCTGGAAGATCTGGGCATGCGGCAACCCTAAACCCTAAACCCCTAAGCCCTAAACCCTAAACCCTAAACCCTAAACCTAAACCTAAACCCTAAACCCCTCAGCCCTATACCCTAAACCCTAAACCCTAAACCCCTAAACCCTAAACCCTAAACCCCTAAGCCCTATACTTGCATGTGGCTGATCCTTCTATAGGAATCCTCAGCTCATGGCGCCCTTTCAGTACCCTGATAGAACCCAGCTTACGCCGGGAGGACGCCCGAAACGATTTCAAAAAACAGAAAGCCACAGGAAGGCATCCTATTATAACATTACTACATGGCACGTAATGATTAAGATCACTCATTGTGGAGGGTTTCTGTGCTTGGGAGCCTTGCGCAAGCATCTGGGCATGTAGCCTGATTCTAAGGGTCTAGGGCTCAGCATTTAGGGTCTAGGGTTTAGTATAGGGGTCGGACTAATTGCTGACACTGTCCCCTTTTAGTACCAATGAAACTCAAGACACAGTTAACACTCTAAACCCTAAACTCTAAACCTTTGTCTAAATATGCAAGTCCCCGACATTAGGGGTTAAGTCCTCCAGGGCTGCCGTGTGTCCCTCCACTTCGCGGCTGCACCGGCAGGCTGGGGTTGCTAAGGCTTCTAAGGGATCATAAATGTTAGAGTTTAGGGTTGCGGGGTTCGGGTTTAGGGTTCAGGGGTTTAGGGTTTAGGGGTTTAGGGTTTAGGGTTTGGGGTTCAGGGTTTGGGGGTTTAGGGTTTGGGGTTTTGGGTTTAGGGATCCTATAGCGAAAGCATCGTTAAGGCTGCAGTGGATAAGGGATTTGCGGTTTAAGTTTTTTGCTTCGGTGTTTCGGGCTTCAGGGTTCAGAGCTCAAGTTTTAGGTTTGATGAATCATGTTTCGGGCGTTGATGCTTTACGCTTGAGTGTGTCAGGGTCCGACCTGGCGCCCCGGTGATTCCAGGTTGATGCTCTCTAAACCTCAAGCGCTAAACCTCTTAAGTCGAGCGCCCGTGGATTCAGGCTTGATGTTCTCTCTGAGTTGGGTTTGTTTGTAAGCAGAGAACCGAAGACGGTTAACCGTTCCAGTGATATGAGCTTGGCTAGTCCTTATCCATGGCTAAAGGGTTTAGGGTTCAGGGCTTAAGGCTTAAGGTTTAGGGTTTAGTTTAGCTTGTGGTTCCGGGCTCAGAAGTGTAAGGTTTAGAAGCCTGCTCCACTATTTGAGCTGTCTTTAGCGGTCTTCAAAGTCATACTGGGTATCTGATCATCCCTAAACACTAAACCATCTTGTCACTGACTTGAGAATTCTGAAATAATGGGCTTAGTAGAAGCCGAAGCCCTCAATCGTCAAACTGGTTCACAGGGTACTAAACTTAAACCCTTAAACCCTAAACCCTAAACAGTTTCCTTTAAGTTAAACCCTTGACCTTAAACCCTAAACAGTTTCCTTTAGCTTAAACCCTTAATCTTAAACCCCTACACCCTAAACCCTAAACCCTAAACCCTAAACCCCAAACCCTTAACCTTAAACCCTAAACCGTGTGCTGAGTATGGCGGACTCGGGTCTACACCTGGGAGTGTTTTACGGTGGCCAGGACTTGTACTGTTTCGGCTTTTTCGGGGGTCGCAGAATTTGGTGATCCTATTCCCTGGGTCTCCTGGTTTCTAAGGGTTTAGGTTTTAGGGTTTAGGGTTTAGGGTTTAGGACAGTCTTTCTAACATTCCCGAAAACCTTATTCTGATTATAAAGACCCCATATTAGGTGGGCGCTTTGGGAAGAAACAGCATAGCAGTGTGGTCACCGAGAGGTTTCGCAGCAGCGAGTTCCAGGGTAATATAGGGGCCTTAATAATCAAAATCGGGTTTGGGGGTGATATTAAACTACAAGTATAATAAGGAGCGCACCGAAAGGTTTGAGGGCTTGAGACATTGGGTTAAACGGCTTGAAGGGCTGAACAACTTGTGGCTAAGGGTTTGGGTTTTAGAGTATAGTCTGGCATCACTTCTGCATAGACTTATAAACCCTAAACCCTAAACCCATGTTCCGAACCTTGCACCCTCAACATGTCCTGTACGGATCGGCACATGAGATCCTGCAAAGCCCTTGCCGCTTGTAAGCACTCTTCAGGGCATCGGTCGGTTTAGGGTTTAGGGTTTAGGGTTTAGGTCTATGCAGAAGTGATGCCCGACTATACTCTAAAACCCACACCCTTAGCCACAAGTCGTTCAGCCCTTCAAGCCGTTTAACCCAATGTCTCAAGCCCTCAAACCTGTCGCAGGAGCATTGAAAGTGCAATTTCTGCAAGATTCGCATTGTCAGCCTTCAGCTATCTGGAGAGACTGTTGAATGTTGGAAGTGCCTAGTGTCTTCTTCGAGTGGTCTCAAAGAAGGCAAGCATTGCCTGACCATACGCAAATGGGGTGGTAATACATAAGCTTAAACAATTACCAGTACTCTTGCGGCGTCCCTTCTGAAAAGTACAGTATAATATACCCCAAGACCCTATTCTAATCATAAAGGCCCCTAAACCCCAAACCCTTCTAGTAGCCGTCATCAAACCCTTACAGGAACCCCAAAAACCCATTCTAATAATCAAGGCCCCTACAGTACATAATGTCCCGGACCGTGAAAGTGGCAGGTCTGAAAGCTTAACGCAGTAATGTAGGGGCCTTATTAGTTCGAATAGGGATTTTTTTGGGGCGTATATTGTACTAGAACCAGGTCAAGGTATTTAGGGTTTAGGGTTAAGGTATCGCAACCCAACACTGCAGAGAAGCGTGCCAGGTGAGTTCGACGACTCGACCTGGGTTGGGGCTGCCAGGACTCCGTACAACACAGATGCAAGTGTACACATATGATGCATATATATATATATATATATATGCATGTATGTAGGTACGTGTACATGTATGTATACATGTATAGATCTGTATATATATATATACGATAAATGCATATGTGCATGTAAACACCCACATGTACAAGTGTGGGTACATGCGTGTATACACAGATATATATATATATATATGTGTATATGCACATGGCAGAGAGATCACGTTGTGTTTCTAGCACTTTGAGCGGTTTGTGGTATCCCAAAAGCCGAAGACCTTCAGCGGGTTCAGTGCGAGCCTGGTGAATCCTAAGCCTAAGAAACCCTACAACCCAAACCCTTCGTTCAAGGTGTAAAGAGGGACTCTGTGATCAATGTTCTAGGGGCTTGCGATGCGCCGAACCTTTAGGGTTTGGTGTTTAGGGTTTAGGGTTTAGGTGTTTAGGTGTTTAGGTGTTTAGGTGTTTAGGTGTGTAGTGTCTGGGGTTCAGGTTTTTGGGGTTTAGGGTTTAGGGTTTTGGGGTTGTGTTTTAGGTTTTCAGCGCACTAGGTCTTCGCCCAAGTTGCTGGCGTCCAGAGAAGCAGGAAAAAGGGTTAAAGTCTCGAGTTGGACCGCTACAAAGGTGGTCGGGAGTTCTTACCCATATGCCCCATAGTAGTGCCTTTTTTGGGATTACCTTATAGGATTCTTTATATGAGCCCCAAAAAGGAGCTACTATGGGGCCTATGGGTAGGGTCTGCTAGATAATCAGCGAACATCTTCAGAACGACCTTTAGAAGTTTGCACCTTAAGAGCTGAAAGCTCTATCTTGTGCAACCCTGGACCCTACAGCCTCTAGGACCTAAACCCTGAACCCTACACCCTAAACCCTACAGCCTCTAAGACCCAAGCCCCGTGAGGCCTCATATATGCATCCCTAAACCCCTTCAGCGACGCCCCTTGTCGTTGAAGATGGCAAACAGGCATCCTATTTTTCTTGTGAACTCGCTTGAGGACCTGTGCATCAGGTTTAAGGCTTGATGGGTGCAATTCCCCAGAAGCAGAACTTGTAAAGCTCACACAACCATGACAGCTGAAAGCACAAAATGCGCACTACGAATCTGTCGGTTGTGACATCTCAGACTTGCCAGGAACTATTGGCGAATGCTCCGCGATACCTGGTCCGAGTACCGCACGGAATGAACGCGGGAGCAGGAAAATGCAGCAGGCTTCCGAAGCCCCAATGCCCTAAACCCTATACTCTAAACCCTATACCCTCAACCCTAAACCCTAT